GAGACCAGCCAGTTTATTAACCAAAAGCTGACCCTGCCATGCAGGAAGTTCAAGAGAGGTCATCTCCGATCATCCCTGGCGAAGGCTCCTAATTCGAGTTCTCATAGGTGGATAAGGGAGGCGCGGAAGTCTGCCCTGAGCCCCGGGCTAAAGTTGTTTTGGCTCCAAACAAGCTGGACCCCCAGGGGGCTCAGCTCAGGGTTTTCCCAATCTAGTCAGAAACCCCAATTTATTGTAATTAGTCCTGAAGAATAGAGGGAGGTGCAACTCTATTGTCTTTTCCACCCACTCCCACCCCCACCCTCCTATGCGGGAACCACACCTTCTCACTACTCCTCACCTGGTCATTCCTTTAGGTTTCCATCTGAAAACCACTTTTTCTTTTAATTTTTTTTTTTATTTCTTCCCCCCTGAGGTCTCCAGAACAATCTTGGGAAATCTGAGCAAACACAATCACCAAAACATTGTAGCCAGGCATGACTTTTCCCCTTCACCGGTCTGATCTCACGATCCAAAGAGCTGGGCTTTCTAGCATTTGCCTGCTGGTGGGTTTTTTGGTTTGTTTTTTAATCCTCACCCTTCAGTCCGCAGGCCAACGCTCCATCCACCCAGCCAAAACAGTGAGGGCAGGCACCCTCTCCTTAAGGTCAAGTTACTTTAGAAGCTGAATCAATTCACGGAGATTCTGGACCACAGACCCCACCCTCATTCAGATTCCTGTTTCCCATTGGCCCAGAAGTTGATATTCAAGTGTTAATACTCTTTTGGGCCCTAGCTGGGTTGGCTCAGTGGGTAGAGCATCAGCTTGTGGCCTGAAGGGTCCCGGGTTCGATTCTGGTCAGGGCACATGCTCCGGTTTCAGGCTCAATCCCCAGTAGGGGGAGGGCAAGAGGCAGCTGATGAATGATTCTTTCTCATCGTTGATGTTTCTCTCCCTCTCCCTTCCTCTCTGAAATCAATAAAAATATATTAAAAGAAAATACTCTTTCGGTAACTGAAAAGCTGTTCTAATACCATAGCTTAGTGTGTGAGTAATGGCGGTGGCTAAGCTTTCTAAACTAGCATTGATCTTTCGTTAAAAGCATAATATACAGTGACAAGCATCATCTAAAGATAAAGTAACATGAACATCTGGGACTTGTGATTAGAAATTCTCTACTTTTATCCCTTCCCTGACTTCTTTCCCACACGTTGGTCTGTGGTCCTTGCTCCCTAACCCTGCTCCCAGGACCCACCTGGGCCACTTGTGCCCTGAGGGGGGCTCCTGTTGCCATGGCAGCACCAGGAGGCGGGAGAAGGATGCTTCCTTTGTGACGTTTCGTTGCCCTGAAGGTCTCAGCAGTTCTTTTCTGTGGGCGTGAGGATTCCTGTCAAGGGGACACCTTTCACGTTTTAGCCACTGCTTCCCCCACATCTATGTCTGGTCTCCCCTTCGGCTAGAGTCAGCCTTCCAGAAGCTTCAGATATTCTCTTTGGAAATCGTGGGCGTATTTATGCCTATTGCCAACCAAGTGCTTGGCGTTTTCTATGTGATGAAGGGTGTTGGTGCCACCTGGTGGCACTTGTCAGGCCTGCCTGCAATGCCAACAGGGACGGGGTTGGGAACTGGCCGGAGTGTCCTGGACAGAGAGAGGGATTCATTCAGGCATCGCCCTGGCTGTCTCTGCTGTTTCCTCGCTGTGTGGGGAACTCACACACAACAGATGGCTTGCAAACGTTGCCCTGCCCATGTGCTGACCTTCCGACCATAACCTGCTCAGGAGCCCTCCACGTTCTGAAGCACAAGTCGTAGCTTTTCCAGATGAGGACACTGGCCGGAAGGAATAAGCCCCAGGCCACAGCGGAGACCCTGCTTCGGGGCCCAGGTCTGCCTAGTGACAGAGCCCCAGCTCTTCCCAGGACCCCCCACGGCCGGGACACAGGCCCGGGGCAGGGGTGTGCTGGAAAACTGGAACAGCCCGGCCGGCGTGGCTCAGGAGTTGAGCGTGGACCTATGAACCAGGAGGTGGCGGTTCGATTCCCGGTCAGTGCACATGCCCGGGTGGTGGGCTCCATCCCCAGGGCGGGGCGTGCAGGAGGCAGCCGGTCAGTGATCTTCTCTCATCATTGGTGTTTCTTTCTCTCTCTTCCTCTCTGAAATCAATAAACATATGTGTGTTTTTCAAAAAAATATATTTTATTGCTTTTTTTCTTCTCTCATCATTGGTGTTTCTTTCTCTCTCTTCCTCTCTGAAATCAATAAACATATGTGTGTTTTTCAAAAAAATATATTTTATTGCTTTTTTTTTTTTACAGAGAGGAAGGGAGAGGGATAGAGAGGTAGAAACATCGATCAGCTGCCTCCTGCACAGTCCCCACTGGGTATGTGCCCGCAATCAAGGTACATGGCCTTGACCAGAATCAAATCTGGGACCTTTCAATCCACAGGCCGACATTCTACCAGGGGTGGGCAAACTTTTTGACTCGAGGGCCACAATGGGTTCTTAAACTGGACCTGGAGGGCCGGAACAAAAGCATGGATGGAGTGTTGTGTGAACTAATATAAATTCAAAGTAAACATCATTACATAAAAGGGTACGGTCTTTTTTTTCAATAGTTTTATTCATTTCAAACAGGCCGGATCCGGCCCGCAGGCCGTAGTTTGCCCACGGCTGCTCTAGCCACTGAGCCAAACTGGCTAGGGATGTGTGTTTGTTTGTTTTTTTAAACCACACAAAACACCTAAAATAAATAAATAACCAATCAACCTTCCCTGGACTCTACCTGACTGTCATGGAAAGAATCATTGATTGGCTGCCTTCAGCACACCCACTAGTGGGGATTGAGCCCGCAACCCAGGCGCGTGCCCGAACTGTGAATCGAACTGTGACCTCCTGGTTCAGACGCTCAACCACTGAGCCCCTGAAGCTGGACATCCTCCCCCAACTCCTTCTTCTTGTTGTTAATCCTCACCCGAGGATATTTTCCCATTGATTTTTAGGGGGACTGGAAGAGAGAGAAACACATCGATTGGTTCCCTCCTGCAAGAGCCCTGACCAGGGCCCAGGCCAGGGAGGAGCCTGCAACCAAGGTACATGCCCTTGACCAGAATTGAACCCGGGACACTTCAGTCTACAGGCCGATGCTCTATCCACTGAGCCAAACCAGCTAGGGGACCTCCCCACCCCCACTCTTTAACTGAGTCTTCGAGCTCCAAGAGCAGAGGCAGCACATTTCCATCTTCGAACCCCCTCAGCCCTTAGTTTCATGTTTACACACAGTAGCTGCCCAATGATTTCTGGCTTCCGTGCATGTTGTATCGCTGGTGTGTCTCTACACCATGCCAGGAAGAACTGGAAATTGGTGACTTTGGCCACTAGATGTCACACTACACTTAACCGTCAACAGAAAATTCCTAACCCTGATTCCAAATTTCCTTGACATGTTAGTATGAAAGCAGATCTCCTGTTACTGCAGTCTTTAACCTCACCCATTCCAAGCCAAGCCTGGACCAGACTTTCCTCGGTGTAAGTTTCAGCTTTTAATGTCTCCCTTTATATGGGAGGAGAGGATGTGTAGGGGTACAAACGCGCAAACAATTTGTCATTGACTTTGGAATGTATTATCATGTAACATCTTCCCGGCCCAGTTGCCTTTCTTTTTGTGTCTGGTTCATATTAACTGTTTTTGCTCAGCACTGCATCTGCACCTTCTAGCCTTCTGTTCAAATCAATGCCAAGTACAGGGCTGGCCAGTGCGGGACACGTGGTGGTTGTGACAGCATTTTCTTAAAAAAGATTAACCCAGCCCGGCCGGGGTGGTTCAGTGGTTGAGCATCGACCTATGAACCAGGAGGTCACGGTGCGATTCCAGGTCAGGGCATGTGCCCGGGTTTTGGGTTCCATCCCCAGTAGGGAGTGTGCAGGAGGCAGCCAATCAATGATTCTCTCTCATCAGTGATGTTTCTATCTCTCTCTCCCTCTTCCTTCCTCTCTGAAAAAAACCCCACCACAAAAACCTACATTCCATCTACCTATCTATCTATCTATCTATCTATCTATCTATCTATCTACCTTTCTAGATATCTAGCTATCCCTCCCTCCCTATCTATATATCTATATCTATATCTATATCTATATCTATATCTATATCTATATCTATATCTATATCTATATCTATATCTATAAAGAAGTCTCCAAAGGAGTAGTTGGGAGCATCCAGGAATTAAAGAGTTAAGTGGTTAAGTGTGGCCCTGGCCGGTTTGGCTCAGCGGATAGAGCATTGGCCTGTGGACCGAAGGGTCCCAGATTCTATTCTGCTCAAGGGCACATGCCCGGATTACAGGCTCGATCCCCAGTAGGGGAAGTGCAGGAGGCAGCCAGTCAATGATTCTTTCCCATCATTGATGTTTCTATTTCTCTCTCTCCCCCTCTCCCTTCCTCCCTGAAATCAATAAAAAAGAACATTAAAAAAATATAAAGAATTAAGTGTGACAATGACAAGACATTAAGAACAGCTCCGAGCACAGGGCTCTGGGACCCAGAGCGGTGAGTAACGGCCATCACACAGCCTGGGGAGGTGTTGGATGCTGTAGATGACGGAGTCACCCACCTCGCCTCAGAACACCCCCACACTCTCAATGAGCCAGGAGCTTACGTGTCCAGGCTGTGTCCATTTCTACTGTTACAGATGCTGCGGTCTGGCTAAGGCCTGGCTTCCGGAGCCCAATAGCAGGAATCCCAGGGTGCCTTTCACTGCAGCCGAAAGAAAGCACTTACCCCGTGAGAGCTAAACAGGGCTACCCCTGAGCGGGCTTTGGGGCCACAGCGTGTGCACAGACCCTTGCTCTCCGGCCCAGACTTTCGCAGGGAGCTCAGCACCTGACCCTGAACGAAGAGCTCAAAGCCCACACTGCTCACTCTTAGCTGCGAAGGGCAGTTACTCACCAATGTCTCACCGCTCGTCACTGCACTCCAGGGCACGAGGACTTGTAGGGTGCTCGCATCCACGGAGGAGCCCGGACTAAGATCACACGTCCCTTTGTGGATGCGAGATAATCCTCGCATTTCCCGTGCCTGCGTTTCAGTGCGTCCATCCCACAAGGACAGGTCTTCCCCATCCTGTGGCTTCATCCGATGATCTGACGGGAATCTTCTCTTTCTTCTTCTTTTTAAAAAAATATTTTTATGGATTTTAGAGAGGAAGGGGAGGGGGAGAGAGAAACATCAATGAAGAGAGAGAATCATTGATCGGCTGCCTCCTGCACGCCCCACACTGGGGGATTGAGCCCGCAACCCCCGATATGTGCCCTGACCGGGAATGGAACTGTGACCTCCTGGCTCATGGGTCGATGGATGCTCAACCATTGAGCCACACTGGCCGGGCGGGAAACTTTTCTTTATAAATAAAGTGTGATGCTCAACATCTTACCCACAGTGGACTAATGCGTGGCTCCATGAGCTGTTTGGTTTGACATTTTGGGTTTTCTAATTATCCCTCTGAAAATTCACAGTAAGCTCACCAATCCCACAGGCTTTGCTTTAAGTTTTTAGAAGTAATTATGGGAGGTGGAGTGTGTAGCAGGGTCCTTTTTCTCAGTTCCCATTTCCTAAATAATGCGTTTTCAGCCCAGCTGGCGTGGCTCAGTGGTTGAGCGTGGACCTATGAACCAGGAGGTCAGGTTTGATTCCCGGTCAGGGCACATGCTGGGGTTGTGGGCTCCATCCCCAATGGGGGGGCGTGCAGGAGGCAGAAGATCAATGATTCTCTCTCACCATTGGTGTTTCTCTCTCCCTCTCCCTTCCTCTCTGAAATCAATACAAATATATTTTTTAAAATAATAGATTTTCAGACAGCATTGGTCAATTGATGGGGACTTCAGGATCCACATTTCACTAACAGTATCCTTTGCCGACTCACTCCCGGGACCCATCCCAGGACTACAGCATCCTTTCCATCCACAGAGCAGACTCTGAGCACAGGAGCCACATGCACTGAGATGTGTCTGCCAGCCCTAAGGCACTGGTCTCCCTCTTTTTTTAAAATTATTTTTATTTTATTTATTTTTTAAAAATATATTTTATTGATTTTTTACAGAGAGGAAGGTAGAGGGACAGAGAGTTAGAAACATCGATCAGCTGCTTCCTGCACATCTCCCACTGGGGATGTGCCTGCAACCCAGGATGTATGCCCCCGACTGGAATCGAACCCGGGACCCTTCAGTTCGCAGGCTGACGCTCTATCCACTGAGCCAAACCAGTTTCAGCTGGTCTCCCTCTTATCCGTCTTTGTTAGTGACCAGGCAAGGCACCATCAATTGTTTGTTCTCTAATATTATAGTAGGAGTTTGTAGAGAAATAAATTATAAGGTCATTCTTTAGTTGTTTCACACATGAATATCTTCAATGTGATTTACTCAAAAGCAAACAGTGCTACAAAAAGTCCCCCCATTCTTTTTCAGAAATGAAGATTTAAAACAAAAATTTAAAATTAATTTTCAGGGAGAGAGAGAAAGAGAGAGTGAAGCATTGATATGTTGTTCCACTTATTTATGCATCCATTGGTTGATTCTTGTATGTGCCCTGACCTGGGATTGAACCCAGAACCTTGGGGTATCAGGATGATGCTCTAACTGACTGAGCTACCCGGCCAGGGCTCCATTGTTTTCTTTTCTTTTTTAAAAAAATATATTTTATTGATTTTTTACAGAGAGGAATGGAGAGGGATAGAGAGAAACATCGATGAGAGAAAAACATCCATCAGCTGCCTCCTGCACACCCCGCACTGGGGATGTGCCCGCAACCAAGGTACATGCCCTTGACCGGAATCGAACCCAGGACCCTTCAGTCCACAGGCCAATGCTCTATCCACTGAGCCAAACCGGTTAGGGCTGTTTTCTTAATTAACCTCTTTGAGATGACTGGACTTCATCTACAAAAATGTCATGATGATGATGCTTATAATAACCTCTGCTTTTACCTAGGCATCAGAGACTTCTGTGAGGGCAATTGAAATATAACATGCGGAAACACTTTTGCAAGATGTAAAATGTGCTGCAATGATATCTTCTTTGCCTAACACTGGATAGCAGTACCCTTGGGAGACTCAGCCCTCTGGAGAAACGATAACAAAGCAGATGTTCCTTTTTCTACGTGTGCGCTGTGTAGCAGACCCCAAACCGGCACAGGTGACGGCCAGGAAAAGGCATTTCGTGTAGGAATTTGTCACGTCTGACACCCAGGCCTTCTTCCCTCGTTTGTCTTCTAGTCACTCTCTGTTATGAGTAAACAGCTGGCACTCACCAGTGGAGAGCAGCAGGGGAGATAAAAACCACCCAGCAGAATAGCTAACAATAATTCCCATTGCCGGTGATGGACAATGTCAAGCAAAATCTGTAATCGCCCCCCTATAGATTGGAGGCTGTTGTTTTGAGTCAGTTGTGGTGGGGACAAGGTGTCATACCTACTTGTCATAACAAACCAAAGAACAGGATGTACAAGGAGAAATCTCTCCCCGGGCCCAATTCCAGAGGGACGCCATATTGAAAGTTGGATGTGAGTTCTTCCAAACAGGGATGAGTTTGTCCCTCAAGGGCGATGAGAACCGTCGGGAGAGCGGCCCTGAGTGTTGAGCTAGGCCAGTGATGGCGAACCTTTTGAGCTCGGCGTGTCAGCATTTTGAAAAACCCTAACTTAACTCTGATGCCGGGTCACATATAGAAATGTTTTGATATTTGCAACCATAGTAAAACAAAGACTTATATTTTTGACATTTATTTTGTATATTTAAATGCCATTTAACAAAGAAAAATCAACCAAAAAAATGAGTTCGCGTGTCACCTCTGACACGCATGTCATAGGTTCGCCATCACTGCTGTAGAAGGTCCTTTCAAGATGGGGTGACATTTTCGGTATGCCTCGCTTCTATCATTTTCAGGTACTCAACATGCGCTGTTTTCAGAGCCTGGATGTCATCCAGAATGTTCCATGTCCTCTCCAGTGGTTTGACAAGCGGTGATGTGATTATTTGATATGCGAGTGGCCTGTGGTAGTGCAGTGGGGACCAACCAACAGTACGGGGATCTGAATGTGTAGCAATGACTGGATTTGGGGGTGATCCGACTATGTGGCTTAGAAGGAGAGCAGGCTGCATGAACTCTGCTGACATTCACAGGCAAGTTTTCATCTGAAGGCCCATCAGAAGGTCCACAGTGAGCAGAAGCGTTCTCAGGTAGCAATCCACGCCCGAGGGTAAATAAGGCACTAGGTTAATGGAGGTGGCACAGGATTCTAAAATATGCTCTCAGATTGTGTTTGCTTTCCTTCCCCCTCCCCCTGGTTGCTAGTTCCTGGGATGTTTGTGGGGGAAATGGAAGTCGGTCGTCTATTAAGTACAGACACAGTCTGAATGAGAGGAAGCCCTAGCCAGTTCAATGGATAGAGCATCAGCCTGCGGACTGAAAGGTCCCAGGTTCGATTCGGGTCAAGGGTAGGTGCCTGGGTTGTGGGCTCGATCCCCAGTAAGGGGGTGTGCAGGAGGCAGCTGATCAATGGTTCTCTCTCACCATTGATGTTTCTATCTTTCTCTCCCTCTCCCTTCCTCTCGGAAATCAATAAAAATTTTTAAAAAGTAAATAAATGAGGAAGACCATGTCTTGAAGGGTAGACAAAACGTCCAAAGGAAAAAGAAAGTTCTGTAGAATCAACTGTCCTCTTAGGGACATTGCACAGGCGCTGTTTTCCTGGCTGCCACAGGCCAGCGTGGCCTCCTGGAGTCAGTGGCCTGGTCACTGCTGCCTGGACCACCTTGAATGGGAGTCGGGGGGCTGCTGGGCCAAGGAGGACTCTGATACTGCTGGTGTGTGGCCAAAAATCCCGGGGCAATGATGGTCAGTTCATAAAGGACTTAATTCTCTTCTTCTATCCTATGCAAAGATAGTGCCAGTCCAGCTGGCGTGGCTCAGTGGTTGAACATCGACCTATGGACCGGGAGGTCACGGTTCGATTCCTGGTCAGGGCACATGCGTGGGCTGCAGGCCCAGTAGAAGGTGAGCAGGTGGTAGCCGATCAATGATTCTCTCTCATCATTGATGTTTCTATCTCTCTCACCCTTTCCCTCTTCCTCTCTGAAATCAATAAAAATATATTTAAAGCAAAACAAAAAAACAAAGATAATGGCAGTGAAGGGGGTCCCTTACCTCAAGCTGATGCTTGTCCCATGGCTGTGACTGATACTCAAGAGACAACTTGAGAACTAACAAGGACGCAGTCATCTCTCCTCCCTTCCTATGTACTTTCCATAATCAGCCCAGGGGGCTTGCTTTGTCCGGGATGGAGTGTGGTATGTTTGTCTCCATGCCTCCTCTTTGTTTCCTTTCTTAAAAAACAAACAAACAAAAAACCCATCACCAAAACCACCTCTACTTTACTGGGTGCCTGGCTGGGTGACTCCACTCAAACAAGGGTTGGTATTGGTAAATGTGTAGAGTCTATGGGCTGGCCATTTTTGATGAAGAATTTCAGTAAGAATACCTCAGTTATTCATAAAAACACGCTACCCTTCAAAAAATGCAGCTCTCATCCTAGCTGGTTTGGCTCAGTGGATAGAGCATTGGCCCGCGGACTGAAGGGTCCCGGGTTCGATTAGGTCAAGGGTGCATGCCCGAGTTGCGGGCTCAATACCCAGTAGGAGGTGTGCTGAATCAATGATTCTCTCTCATCATTGGTGTTTCTATCTCTTCCTCTCCTTGCCTCTGTGAAATCAATAAAGACATATTAAAAAAAAAATACAGCTCTCTCCACTATCTGTTAAATATCCAGTAAAGTGCTATTTGGAAACAACAAGAAAGGAAGTTATCTAACTGCTAGAGGCCCAACAATAGCCATTCTACACCAAGTAAAACCAATGGATAAGATTTATGGCTTTCCCCATCACTCTGTGGCACATTAGAAATAAATCTCTAGCCCTGGCCGGTTTGGCTCAGTGGATAGAGCGTCGGTCTGCAGACTGAAAGGTCCCAGGTTCGATTCCGGTCAAGGGCATGTACCTTAGTTGCGGGCACATACCCAGTGGGGCGTGTGCAGGAGGCAGCTGATCGATGTTTCTCTCTCATCAATGTTTCTAACTCTCTATCCCTCTCCCTTCCTCTCTGTAAAAAATCAATAATAAAAAAAAAGAAATCTCTAGAAACAGAAAAAAGTAACGAAGATGGCATTCCTTTGCTCTGAAAACACATGTCCCTGCCAGTCCTAACGGACAATCCTTCGCACAATGTCAGGTATTACATTGATGTCACTGACGCCAAAGTGACCTGACGTGAATGGCCGTCCCCATGTCCAGCAGGCGTTCCGCGTCCCCGTGTCCCTCCCCATTTGCAACCGGAAGCTGTGAGTTGGGTTTCCCTTGCAGGCTCTCTGGGAGAACCTGGCATGGATTTTCTGAGGATCCCACAAAGACGCTTTCAAGAAACAGATTCTACATCGTAATGCTTAGCATTTATATAGGTTCTTTTGATTCCAAAACAAGTTATAAATATTTCCTACCGTAACAACATCTTCGCGAGGTAGGTGAGAAGGTACTGTCCCTACATGACCAACAGAAACCCGAGGCCAAGGAGAGAGCCAGGAGCCACAGTAAGACTGGGCGTCCCGAGGCCGCCTGCTCTGGGCGGTGGGGAGGTCAGGCCTCTCTCGAGTGTAGCAATAGTCTCTGTTAATATAGGGTTATAGGTCGGATAGATAGAAAACAACACACAGTGACAGTATAGAACAATAATCCAATATTCTTGTTTCTTAGTAAAATATGTTAAGCATAGTATTTAAATTGCATTTCTCTGAAAAGCATTTGGTATATTAAACAGCAGAAGGTATATTAAACAGCAGAAGGTGTATTAAATAGCAGAAGGTATATTAAATAGCTCTATTAAACGTTTGCTGGCATACTCTTAACAGCATAACGATTCTAAAGAAATTCAAATCCACTGACCCATAGAGGTCGCTCCTTTCTTAATACCATAGAGTAAACAAAAATGTGAAAAATGACTTTAGTCTCCATAATACAGACTTAATCGTTTGCTGGCTATTAGCAGGGGGCTACGTAATTTTTCCGAGCTTGAGAGAAAGGATACAGATTCCTGGCTACGGTTTTAAAATATCAACTTGCTAGAGAAAAATGCAGTTGAAAGGTGGAAATTAAAGATTGCTATTTCTGCCCAGCTGGCGTGGCTCAGTGGTTGAGCGTCGACCTAGGAACCAGGAGGTCACGGTTCGATTCCCAGTCAGGGCACAGGGTTGCAAGCTAGATCCCCAGTGTGTGCGTGTGTGTGTGTGGGTGTGTGTGCATGCGGGGGAGGGGGGGGGGTGTG